CAAGTCAAGCTCCTTGAGTCTCCTCTAAAAAAGTTAGCCCCTTCCTTCCCTTAGATGCCCTTTTCTGCACCCATTCAAATTCATATTTTGAGTTCAAAGGTGACCAGGATTGCATGCAGTATTTCACCAGGCTCTTGTCCAAGGTACCCATAGAAATACAACCTAGGACATGTCTTTTCCACAACCACACCACACTGGTAGGTTCATAGTCTTCCTGTGATTGATTAGGAGGCCTCAGTCATTTCCCATCAAGAAGCTCCAAGGTTAAAGAAAGTATCTTTTAATTCATCCTGAATACCTGACCTTGCCTTCTTTACTATTGAGTGCCAGCCCTTATCTGCAAAGTCATCCAGTTCTTCCTATATGAGAAACCAAACCTTTTTCATATGGATAAAAGCTGTGAACCTTTTCTTAATTGCAGCACAGTCTGACTGCTTGTACTGGACTCATTAATGAAAATATTAAAACAAGATTGATGACAGGTCCTTCAAGAACTCCCCTAGAAACCTCCCTCCTGCCTGATGCTTCCCCTCCTGGCACATCCCTTAGCTGGTTCCTTACTCACCTTAATACTTTTTTTTTTTCCTATGCAGTATCTTCTCCAGCTTCACTCTTTAATTCCCCAAGTACCACCATATCAAATGCTTTACTGATTGCAGACAGAGGACATGGTCTAAATTTCTTTTGTCTAATAAATCAGGTTTTCCCCCTAAAATAAATTCAAGTTAGTTGGGTATGATCCACCTTTGGTGATCTCATACTACATTTTATCCTATTTTCCACTGACCAACAGGATATTGATTATTTTTCTCAACACAATGTGTTCCAAACCCTTCCAAATTTCCAAGATCAGATCAACAGGCCTGCAAACACGCAGATCACTTAATTCTCCTTCAATATACCTCCTTCTTTTGCTTTGAGATTTGTTCATGGCCAAAGTAGAAGCATTTCCTATCCCATGCCCTCATCCCCATTATCCATCCTGTGCCACTACATTCAACATCATCATCATCTCTACTGAAAACCAAGGCAAACTATTCATTTCAGTTTGGGGGTTACAATAACGGTGTTTGAATCAGAAAATGCACCCCCAATAATGAAACAAACTCCAGCATTGTAAGCATTTGGGAACAGGAAAAAAAAATTCTTTAGAGTTGATGAGATTTTTTTTTTCTCCTAGAAAAAATAATGATGAAAAAGCCCTTGTTTCAGGGACCCCAAGCTGTTCTGTCCATTTGAGGGTCAGGCTGTGTATTTCAATGTCACACAAAGGTATCACACACACAGTGACAACAGATTGAGAGAGGACCTGCTCAGGAACTGTCTGACTTAAAAAAATATATATTGAAAAAAATAAACTGATTGTTTTATTTCAGGGATGTCAAACTTATCTGGGCCCATAGGCCAAATGGGGGTCACTGGGCTGGTCTGCAGGATGCATCAGGACAGACCCCCTATGCAGTACGTAGGCTGGATCTAGCACTCCAATCCAGGGGGTCGGGCGGGGTGTAGACCGCACATGGTACCCACTGGATTGGCAGTGGAGTTGCGTACAGCATTGGGTCCAGCCATCGCACGTGTGGCGCTCCACCAGATCTGCCCTGTGTGCTGGCTCCAGCATAGCCCAATTCAGACCAGTCCTGGAACCAGTGTGCTGAGCCAGTCCAGCATGGGTGTCATATGCAGTACATGCCCCAGACTGAGCCCCTGCACTGTATGCAGCACGTGGCACCAGGTCCAACTCAATGCATGTAGCTAGGGCTGGTGCATACCCCATGCAGTGTGCGGGGTTGGTGCAGAGTCCTATGGACTGAATCATATGGCTCCACAGGCTGAATCCAGCCTGAAAGCCATATATTTGACACCCTGATTTATTCTAAACCAACACTTTACAGAGGAACATGTACCACTTTCACCAAGGGAACAGCTGGTCAACAAAAATCAGTGGGTGGGGGGAGAAAGACCCCACCCACACTAAAATAGTCAATAGTTTACTAGGGAGAGATGTGTGGGACCAGCATCTGCAGGAGACGAGTGTTAGCCCCTTTTGTAGGCCAGTCAATGAATGCAGGAAGAGACTGTGTGAATGGCCCAAGACGACCTGGGGAAATGCAAGAGGACACCCAGAAGTCTCGAGTCCCCAGCCGCTTTGCAGATCGCTGAAAGAACACACCTTCCCAATGGCCACAGTCACGCTGTGTTTTCCAAACTTCACCCCTCTCTTCAGGTGCTGGAACAGCAACAGGGTCAGGCCCACTTCCCTACTCATGTTGTGAGGCCGTTGTGAAGGATCCTCAGCTGCCCTAGAGGTCACAGTAGGACTGGTTCATGACCAGCACAACCAAAACTCAGTGGTATCCAGCTTCAAAAGGGAACAATAACCTTGGTCAGATCAGAGAGTCTCTCCTGCCCCATTTTCTTGCTGCAGGCCAATGTAGACTCTAAAGAGACACTGAGCCCATGGGAGGGGATGAGGTGACATGACTTACAGATGGCAAAGAGCAATTCCCTCCATGAAATTACGCAGCGAAAGCACTCAGCATGAGTGGCTGCTAGTAAATGCTTGTTACATCACCCAGTTGGCAATGGTTGCTGCTGTGTCTTCGTTGGCCAAAATAAGGTTTTTACAGTACTATTTCAGGACCTGTTTATGAAAGATGGCCTGACACCAAGTCTGGTGCTGTAAAAACACAGGCTTTGTTTCATCTCCCACTCAGCCGAGAAACGGAACAGCATGAAGGTGGCAGCCCAAGACTCAAGGGGAGGATGAATCTAAAGCAGGGGAAATCCAAGATCTGTGAGACAGTTGCAAGCATCCTTAGTTTGATATTAGTGGTATAGTGGGCTTCTCAGATCCTGCATCTTCTTAACAGCCATCCACATCCCCATCAACCTGACCTCTACCACACAGGTTCCCGTGGTTCTTCAGATTTAAAGCTGGTTGACGTATATTAATTCGTGCCTAGGGGTGTGGGTAGAATTGCTCCCAACCATATACGCTCAGCGTTTCTGCCCAGGCTCCTTTTAACAAGTTGAAAGCCAAGCCTGCTTACTTGTAGCCAACCCTTAAGACTCATCTACACCTTGCTTAGCTCAGCCACTCCTGCTTCACCAGTTACCCCGAGCTCAGGTCCTCTCTCCTTGTACCTGCGGTTAAGGAAAGACAAGTCGCAACTAAAAAGCAAAAGAAGAAATAATTTCACACTTGGGAAGTCTGCAGCATCAAGCATTTGGGTCTCTCCCTCCTGAAACAAGCCAATCCCCTAGAAAATGTACTGCTGCTAACATATACAACTAGCTCCGCAAGCTCAGACTCGTGAAATGGCCGGCTTTATTCTGCAATGAGACCTACGGCATCACCTTGCTACAAAGTGCCATCTCTCCTGGGCAGTTTATACTGCATTTCTGCCAGGGCTTTTATGCCCATGTAAGCTGGATGACCCAGCTTGGCTGGGATCAAAAGTTATTCTGGCTGGGAGATTACTTTATGAGGAGAGACGGACCCATCCTGCTCCCATGTCAAAAGCCACAATGCTTTACACTTGAAGGCTGCACGGTGCCTAGCCCAGGGCAGCTTTGAACAGTCACAGCTTCCAATCTGAGTTCTCACAAGGGGGATTAGACCACCCTAATTACTGTGAATCTGGCATCACTACTTGGCAGGCACTTGCATGCATGCATGCATGCACACACTCCCCCACCTCTGACTCCTCACCAAACACATGATTTGACTTTTCTATGAACAATACTGGCCCCAAAATGAAGAATGTTATTTTGAAGGGTCTCCCCCAGGCTTTTTGCCAGCTTAATACATTTAACACAAGAACAAAAAGGGCCTCAAAGGAGCCTGCTGGGATTGGAACATCTTGTTCCATGGAGGCCAGTTGGGTCAAGTCCCGATGCACATTGGACTGAGTCCTTCTCCGCAGCTGGAACTTTTGAAGATGCATATCTGCTGCACAAATATTTTACACATTAAGCAGCAGCATAAATGTGTGCGCACCTCCTACACAGCCAATGAACATTCCCTGGGCATCCAAGCTAGCTTCTATTGCTAGGGAATCCTAATGTCTCATTGATTTCAATGGGAAGGTGACAGCACAGGTAGCAAGCCAGAAAACAGGCACAGAAAGAGTTAAATGCAATAAGAATACGCTAAGATGAAAGAGTTACATGCAATAAGCCCTGATTAGCCAGATGGCTTAGAGATGATAAAACTACTTGAGAGGAAGGACAGGAAAGGTTCCCTGGATCAGACATCTTTAACCTCCTTTCCTGTTATTAAGATGTTCTCTATAAATGCTTCGCTCCAAGCCTATGAAGCCTTCAGATAACCAGTGGGCCAAACTTCAACCTCTGGCTGAGGAAAGACAGCAAAAGATAGCTCCATGTTGCAGGAGGCAGGCTCTCTGCAGGTCTGGCCTTACATGGGGTTATAGCGTTAAGACACGGTGGCTCCTCTTCAGGCAGGAGGAGCAAAACTGACCATTTCTGACCTCAGCTGGGTCAGACCCTGGTCTGGTCTCAACAGAAGTCTTCCCAAGATACGTCCAGGGATTAATAGATCTTAATACACTCCTACCGACACCTTCGCGCCTCCTATTTTGCCGTCTTCCACTGTTAACTGGGATGCGATTGTAATGGTTTTTGGCTGCTACACCTCAATCAAGTGGAGAGACGAGCCACTGCCTCATGTCCCGCAAGTGCTTGGAACAGCAGCTTTCAAGAGACATTCAGCGTGGGAGGGCAGTTCTACGATTCACAAAATAATGGGCTTCGAGTCTGTCACGGGTTCTCTCAACCTGGCCGTGTCTGCATGTGATCCAGGAGACACTGCACCAGCTCCTAGTTCCTGGACCTCTACAATGTTTTATCCGTGCCAAAGACCTCCAGTCATTTGACCTTTCCCAGTGCCTAACACACAAGATCCTGGATCAGTCCAATTGCTGCATCTTCCACCTACACAACTTGGCTGTGCTGGGATCACTCTGACCACTTACCTGCCAGAGCTGCTTTCTTGTTCCCTTGCATCTGCTGCTCTGTCCGCCTGGCAACGTAGAGAATTCACCTCGGATGAGATCAGGCTTTTGGTAAGTTTTTGGCTCCCAGAGCACTGCCCAGTACAAGAGCAGGGCTGTGCAGCGCCTTGCAGAGCTCTCTGCAAAGGGGAAGAGTGTCAAAAGTGCTATCTCCTTCCAACCACCAGCATGGCCAAAAGGGGATATGAATGGGGCAGACCCACACAGCTGTCCTGTGACTGGTGCTAGTCTGGCCTAACATAGGATCATAGGACAGCAGGGCTGGAAGGGACATCTGGGGGTCCTCTGGTCCAGACCCCGGCTCGAGGCTTCCCCAAATAAACCAGGCCGTATTAGTCCTCATGTCACCTATTTAAAACTACACCAAGCCCACTGCACAACTATGAGACACCAAAAGTGCCCTAACCTGCCACAGATGAAGCAGAGGGATGAGGGCTCTCAGTGTCCCACTGCTACAAGGGTTGCTACAAAGCATTCAAGAGATCCTTCTTGCTGAGTATTTTCTGGCAGGTGGCTGGAAAAGTTGGGTAGATAGAAGATGCAGCGGTCAGACTGATCTGGGATCTGCAGCATGTTAAGCATGGGAAAAGGAAGAGGGTCATGTTCCCTGCTGCACAGAAAGCCATGCACTTATTCCCTGTATATACACACAACAGAGAAGAGCAGACCAGCAAGCTAGTGGCAACGGAGACCAGTCCCAGCTCCTCCACTCCCAGGTGACACCATGTTTAAGTCAGTGCTGTCACAGCTATACCAAGCAGGTGTGGAGAGAAGTGTCGAAGGGCAGCGAAGTGCTTAGGACTTTACAAGCGTCCATAGGACAGCTTACTCCTTTAGCAATATAGGAAGGGCAACCTGGCTCTAAGCTACAAGCTTGCAGTGTGTTTTAACAACAAGCTGTTTCTCTGCACCTTCATCCACATGCTCCTAATGCTTGGAAAAGAAGCCAGCTGGCAACACGCCAAAAGGAAGTTAAGACTTCTGCTATACATCTGCATGGAAAGTATACAATAAGGAAAGGGCTCATCAAAACCGGGCTGAAAA